AAGATGTCGCTTAACCTTTGTCAAGACCAGGGACAAGATAAACAGATAAGAAAACGACGATGTAATTCATTCTATAAGTTGTATAGAATGCCAGCTGCCTCACCTTAAATAAAATTGCCTGACTATCACGAAAACGCTCAGTATAACACGACAAAGCAGCTACCATAACATACCCAATTATGAAAGAAAAGCAGCGCTGGGAAAAATGTCTGGCGGCTGCTGTTCACTCAATTTACATCGGAAATGCACCGAGGTTTAGAACCAAATCATAGTAACAGTTACTGGCAATCCGAGAGAATACATAGTTTTCGAAGGGATCATATTCCTAGCAAAATCCAACGTAATGAACAAAGATGAGGTCTATTATGTCTGTCCATTGTGGCGAGACTTATATAAGCTTCCGACAACGAAAATAATGCTTTATTATATCTTGACAATCGTTCTTACCGAACCAATACATATTGCTAGCACCAGCAGAAACCTTGATCTTGCATCTGGACATTCTACTCAATATATAATATTAGTATTTTTAATATCAGAAGGTTGAGTAATTTGCTCGCGTGTTACTGTTCATACTGAAAAATGAAAAATACATAAAAACGGTTTATTCATGCACAAGAAACAAATAAGTTAGTCAGTCTACTGATTGACTTGTACCGACGTTTCAATTCTTTTTTCATGAGCCTTCTTCAGGGCGATCCGGGCTAGGTTGGTTTCTGTAGTTAGTTGTGTGGTCCGCACCTGGAGCCGAAGGTGTGTTTTTTGCCTATGCTGCTTAAGGAGTTTTTCGGCTTGAGCAAGAGCTTGAGTGGGCTTCTTTCATCCATACAGAGTTTGCATTCTTTGTCCAGGTTGACCTCTTCACAGGATTTGGCCATTAGAGCTTCTTTGATTCGATTGCCCTTCCAGTTGCTTTCTGTAACGATTCCCGTGCAATCTAACCATTGATAGACGTAGCGTTTCTCTTCTGCGTGCTGCACGATCCCTGAGGCCTTTAAACATTGTTCTTTGACTCTGTTAGGAACGAGGATCTGCTTTTTTTCTAGATGCTTCGTTCGTCAAACCTTTCGCGTTCGTCTGCGGTCATCCATCTTCTCCAGTTTGACCGTCGGTCTTTTATTTTTTGCGTGACGGTATTTTTGGTTTCTGCTAACTAATGTTCTTCCCAGTCATAAGGTAGTTTGTAAGTC